ATAAATAGTGATGACATTTATTCTTCAGCTGTTACAGAACTGCACTGAATTAGAACAGTGGATAAACGCTGCTGACTCCCTGCCAGCTTGTTAGCAAACTAATCTCACCGCCCTGTTTTGACAGTCAACCTCATCTCCTCTGGAGGGAGAAAAGGGGAAGAAATAAGTTCATCGAACGTCTAGTAACGCTTTGTGTGAATTATGCAACTCCACTAATTAAACCATATTTGACAGAGTGGAGCATTGCTGAAATACTGCACTGTAATGTCAGGACAATTTCCTCGCATGGTGAAAAGGAGATATATGACTGAAAGAAGGCTCTACGGTTCATCATAATTCATCAGCAAGGTGGGCGCGGCGATGTAAAGGCTCTGAGCGCGGAGAAAAAGCTGTGCAGCCTGCAGCTGCTAGGCTCTTTATAAATGTCAGATTTGTTTCTTGTTCTAGTTTGACATTCACATAAAAGTGTATGCACTGGCAGCCTATCAACTCCTTGTTTTATTAATGACAAACAACCTAAAATATGCTGCTTTTTAAGAAACTAACAGCCGCATTAATTAAAAAGCATCGCCTCACTCAGGCTGTGTCATCCTTTAACTTTTAGGTCGCATCGCAAGAGAGGGAAGGAAACAGAGGAGGAGGCGGGGAGAGGTGCAGAGCTTTGGAAAAGTATTTGTCATGGATTTTTATAGCAGACAAAAACATAATAGCAGATATTTACTTGCGTCAAAAACACAAAACCTTTTCCTCATTCTCTGACAAAGATCCATAATTTTCCAAAACATTATTTCTCTTACTATTCTGGTAATTAATAAGTACATGTGTTTTTTTGAATTTTGAAATAAATCAGAAAATGTGAAATATCGCTTCTGAGTCATTTTCAAGAATTTTGTTGTCTTTATCTTCCCATCAACTCTGCCCAGCTTCCTTATCCCTGCCGAAGAAGTATGCCCACAGCATGATGCTGTCTCACATTGGGTGTGGGGATCAGGATAACGTGCAACGTTAGCTTTGTTTAAACACAATGCGGCTGTATGCCAAAACTACCCCTTAGCTCTCATCTGACCAGACTGCGTACTTTGTTGGGATTGGAGTAAACCGCAAGCAGAACAACTTAAAGCTTTCTGTCAATCGCTGCTTCCTTCACGACACTCTTCCAGATTTGTAGATGGTTAACAATGTTTTTTTGCGCCTGAGCTGATTTTAGCTGTTTTACCTATTTTTTCTTCTATGATTAGTGCTCTCTTCTTCCAGCTTGTCAATTTAGGGCAACAGGCCACATCTCGGTAGGTTTACAGTAGCACCATGTACGTCCCAGTTTTAGATTATGAGTGGTCAGAGCTCTGTGAGACATTAAGACGTTTTGTTTTATCAACTCAGCCTGCTTTAAACTTTACCAACTCTCGAACTGATATGTCTGGTGTGTTCCTTGCTCTTTGTGATGCTGTTTGTGTTCTCTCACAAAACGACTGGATTTATACTGAGATAACATTGCAACCTGGTGGACTCTGTTCTGACTTGTGACTCATTTATAAACCGAATATGAAAACCCAAAATAATTTTCTATTCTTCTTTGCTTTATGGTCCTTTATCACAATATATCTATAAAAATAATAAAGTTTGTGGTCGTAATGTGACGTGTGCTTTTGCAGACAACTGAAATACAGACTGAAGTAGAGATAAGCAAAGCCTCTGGCTCAGTAGACTGTAAAAATACAAAATATTACCAAGTCATGCTGGTCTAGTTCCTAGTGCAAATATTTTGGTACACTTGAAATAAGACAAAACTATCTCAAATGTATCTTTTCAGAAAGATATAGGAGCCAAATAAATTATTTCTCAATATTGATTAAAAAAAAAAGTTTTGTTTCTTTGGTAGATTAGACATTTCTTCCATATTACAAGGGAAATATTCTGCCAATAAAACTAGAACTATTTTCATCAATACTAAGAAACTGACTTAAAACAAGCTTCTATGTCTTGCTGAAAAGTTACTTATAACTTTTCAGCAAGACTTTGAACTAACTATAAACTAACACTTATAGTTAGTTTTATCTTATTTACTTCTACCAGGATATTTGCACTATAAACCAGACCAAAACAAGGTTTGTGTTTTTGCAGTGAATGGATTAATTATGAACATGAGGGTTAAATAGTAACGTCTGACCAGCGTTGCGGACTGGTTTCGTTGCAACTGAAGCTGAGGTTCTTCGGGTCAGGTTGCATAAACGGCAGAGTTCAAAGATTACAACTTCCTACTGGCTGTTCAACCTCCCTGGAAAGCAGTTCTCATGCATCCCATACGTTTGCCCTCAGTTGAGTCATAATCACACGTAAAATCAACACACAGGGACACAAGGAGAGCGATGCATCGGCCAAGCGCACGGTGCCGCTGTGATTAATGTGTGACACGTAGCAGTCTGCTAGTTTTTTTTCCATCACATTCGTCTCCACAGGGCTGTGAAACAAAGGACTGAGATTAAAAAGCTTTCATTCAGACTGACTCATTAGTCTTTTCTCCCTCTCTCCCTTTCTTTATGATCCTTCTCTGCTCCGAGTTTCACACATCCAGGACAAGGTCATGTCGGAGTCTGAGGAGTGGGAGGAGAGGGGAGAGGAAGGATGTCTGAAGACCGACGGTTGGGAGGAATAAGGAGGTATTCTGCAGGGATTTTCACATCAGTAAAGCAAGCGTTTATATCCTAATGAAGATCAGCGATTCAGCAGGGCTATTTTCATTTAAATTCAGCTTCTCCTGTGAGACAGAAACGAGACAGCTGGCTAGAAACGAGCGCGAGCGTTGCAAGAAGAAGAAGAAAGGAAGAAAAAAAAAATAGGCTACAGGTCCCACACGCAACACACGCCAACAAAGTTCCTCATTCCCACAGACAAGCACGTTCGAAGTGCGTGTGTGGTACGTGATTGCGTTTGGCTTTCATCACCCATCTCCGAGTGATTGCGAGTACATGAGTACATCTTCTGGAAAGACTGACCCAGATCAGAGGAAAGATGAATACATCCTGTGTGAGCAAAGCTTTGTAACTGAGCAAATCCTTCATTCCACTTATAAAAAAAGAGATACAAATAAAGACAAGTTACAAGGTGATTTGTGTTTGAAAATATGTGCGCGTGCGTGTGTGTGTGCAGATGAAAAGAGAAAGACAGCGAGAACAAACCCTCAAGTCTCAAAGCGGAAAGCAAACCATTCATCTTCCCTCTCATATGCTCTTCTGGGCTTCTATCCCAGCAACGGTGTGCGTGTGTCTTCCAAATACAGAGAGCAGTCTGAATGATGAACATGATCTCCATTGCAGTAGAACAATGCTTGTTCTAAATAGGACATGAGAGGCATTCAGCCTTCCCTCACTCTCTGTGCTTGGGACGACCGGCGCTTGTCTGCGGGAGCTGAAGCACGCCGGGCTCAATGAGGCGTCTGTTCCAGGTGATAGCGAGAGTGTGGGATCCTGCGCGCTCGCGCAAATCCATTAAGAGTCATCCCCGACAGCGTCCGGAGTTTTTGCAACATCAATCTGATGCTTATTTGGAGGAGGCCCCGGCGTCGCTCTAACAGACGGGCAGGCGGCGCCGTGCGGCAAGGCGCCGTCACCTCTGCCCCGAGGCCAGCCAGGCCCGCTGCTTTACACCTGCTAGCTGCTCGCCTCTGGAGGTTTTCACATCTGGAATCTTCACTGAACACAGCAACCCCAACACCTGACTGTTCTGCCAACGGTGTCGGCTTCTCAGCCTATTTTACCAGCCAGTAAGAAAGAAGCTGACGAAGCAACAGGCAGCTAAAGAAAGTGCATGGTGGCATATGAGAGAGTCTATTTACAACCCTTCAACTTTTCAGATTCGTCACATAATAGCTAAACATTTCTGCATATCATTTTCAATTTTTATTTTTTTGTTTTCTTTGATTAACCAACCGGTAGAATAACATTCTGAGTGTTACAAAGGAATATAAAGTCCTAATGAGTCAACACTTTTGCTGCAGCTACCACACTTTGAACTAAGACAAACTGAGCGAAAAACATCTACGAAGATCAGTTTTAAGTCTTGCCACTTAATCTTAGTAAGATGTAGGTCTGGACTTTGACTGGGCCATAAAAACTTTGATCTAAACTATTCTAGCATATCCCATGGTGTAATGTTTAGTGAACCTGCCCTTCAGTCTCTACGATTCCTTCAGAATCGTTCAGTTTTCTTGAAAGGTCCATTTTCCTTTTAAAACCCTGACCAGCTGCCTTGTCCCTGTTGAACAAGCATTCCCACAGCATAATGCTGCCACCATGTTCTACTCAGGGAAGGTGTTCTCATAGTAATGTTAGTTTTCAACCACTCAGCACGAACATGCGGGCCAAACTGTTCAGTTTTGGGCTGATCTGACCAGAGCACCTTTTTGTGTATTTTGTGTCTTTTATATGACTTGTTACAAACTTTAAGTGTGACTTTCTTTCAACAATCATTTTTGAAAATGCTGCTTTAAGCTTGTCTACTTTATCCCTGACCTACAATTATTTTTTCACTAATGTTCTTCAACAAACATCTGAGGCCTTCACAGAGCAGAAGGGCTCAGATGTGACCTTTACCACCAAGGTCACATCTGACCAACTGGTTAATCAACTGATTATGCAGTTTGGGTGTATTAGAGTAAAGGGGATCGCTAGATTTTACTTTGAATAACTTAAAAAAAAAAAAAAAAAAACATTTTTCACATTACAATAATGCAATTTGTTTTGGTGATCTATCAAATAAATTCCCAACAAAGTTTATGAATGTAATTTAACCAAATGTAAAAAAAAAAAAAAAAAAAAAAAGAGGGGGGTTGAATTGTTCTGCAGTCAATGTGAGGACAGCAAAATTTGATAAAACTTTGAATTCTGGTGGGTTACTAAAAACAAGTAAAACATAAAATCAGAATTTCCTACAATCAAGGTCCCAATAAACAATATAGATTACGAATAATTCGTATCTTGAGCAAACGTCGGCCCGTTGCTTACCTTTCCTCCTGGAGTCCCGTCTAACGCTGCTGGGCCTGACCGCTGGCTGCAGCTCTGTCTCTGTTGACATCCTCAGGCTCCAAGTGGGCTAGACTGGGCTCCGCTTGGCTCGGCTGGACTCCGAGGGTCCAGTTCACAGAGTCGGTGCCGGCTGTGGGTGCGTGGGCGCCGGGTGCGTGCGTCGAGGCGCCGTGTGTGTGCGTGTGGGCACACAGGCTCATGGGAGAGGGATGGGTTTCAGCCCTGACACAACATCCCACACACACCCACGGAGATCTGGAGCGAGAGAGACAGACAGGAACAAACAGGTTTGCTTTTGTTAGGTCGTGCTTACCCAGAGCGGGAGAAACCAAGCAAGGGTTATCAGCAGGCATGAGAATGAGCTCGTTTCTGATCTGCCCTGAGTAGATGTTGCCCATGGTAACGGAGCAGAGAGACCTGCTCTCCACTTTGTGCTTTCTGTCAATAACGCGGCTCAGCAAGGACATTTACTGAAGAACAACCCACCTCTCCAGCACACACTTCATTCTTTAATTACAAAGCTCATTTTTAAGAGTTAAGAAGTGCGACTAATTAACATTTAGACAGAAGTTTTATGCCTGGTGCCAAGTGAGATTTTATTAACCAACACCTCTAAATCAATTAGTCTACTGAGTCTCTTCACATCGCACCATGTTCTGCAGGGCGCTGCTGATGACTTGTTAAGTTGGCTGAAGCAGGAATGAGTCAAAAACAGGCAAAACACCAGCATCGCTTGGGGTAAGAGAGTGGGGGCTATGAATGATTTACATTACAGCCTTTAGCATTGTAATAAAATCAAATTAGGATCTGGCTAAAAATCCCCAACATTGATCAAGTGTTCGCTGCTACAGCTCTGACTGCCTGTATGCCTTTTGACTCACCTCGGTTCTTTAAAAGCAGCTGAAACACGCCACAAAAATTTCTTATCAAACTGCTTTTCTGTAAGATTTGTTCCCGTAATTACTTTGAGTCACATTGAAATAGGTCCAACACATATTAGCAATGAGTTCTATGAAAAAAATGCTAATGTTAGCCTAGCACTTCAGCTAAAACGATTCAGATGAAAACATTGTCAGCATGAGACGTGACTCAAAGGCCGGTTGAACAAAAAATATCATACTGTTCCTGTTTTGTACATTATTGCTTTTTTAACCTAGTTAATCTCATGTTGGAGCGTCATACCAAGGTCCATCCGTAGAAACTTTGTTTGGGACAAAAAAATATGCTGCTGTCAAAAGTAAATTGTGAGTATGGGTGAGTACTAATAGGATGGGTTATTAATGGGATCCTGGTGGCAAATTCCAGCTCTTTGCTTTTGCTCACACACATCTTGTTTATTTCTTGTTTTCTTCATAAATTAACCCTTTTTTTTATAGGTTTTGACAGGTTGGCACGATGATAACATGTGTTTGTCAAGGATTATGTTTGTTTACACACCAGGATGACAGCAATTTATGATCAAAAATCTGAAGTCAAATATCAAATGTCACCATTTCTAAAAAAGAAAAAAAAAATCTACCACTTGTAATCTCAATAAATGCGGTAAAATAAAAATAGAAATACTTAATGGTGAAGGAAGATTACAAAAATACAAATTTTTACCTTAAAACTCTGGCCATACATTGTAATTGCCCATTTAATCTCTGCTAAAGACCCAGAGCAGAAACCACGCCAGAAGGCAAAATTACTCGCCTCTTTCTTCAGCACTGACACCGGTTGAACTTTGTGAGCCCTGAAGCCCCATCACTCTGCCCCTGTGGGAGCCCATCTGCCTCTACTCTAATCTGAAGTGTTGACTGGCAGTGACTGCACAACCCGGCAGCCAAAGGCACTCAAACTCACAGTTTGTTCTCCTTCTCACAAACATGCACGTTTACGAGCACGCACTCTTGAAGAAAAGCTCCTTTCTTTGGCGAGAGATACCGAGGAACAAAAACAGCGAGGGACAGCTGCGAGGTGACAAGCCACATAATGAAGTTGACTACTCTCCGAGATGTTCGTCCCCACTTCTTCAGGCTACCGGTCTCGACCTCTCTCTCCTTCTCTCGTTCTGCGGCGAACGGCGACCGAGTGCAGAGCAGAACAAAACCAAACGGCTGGCGTTTCTTGGGGAAGAGGGGAATCTCTCTCATTCTGTGCCGCCCCCTCTCCACGGCGTTTCAGCGTGAATAGGAGGCCCCTGTAAGCCTCGGGCAAGAACAGATGAATTGAGAGGCTTTTAATTTGCTGCAGACAGAACAGAACAGAGTCCATTTAATTCTGCCAGCAGAGGCCGTGTCGGCAAAATGCTGACAATATTCTTTATCTGGTCCAAACACACTGGAAAAGTGTGAGTCACTCCAATTACAGGCATTATCAGCAGCACTGTTCCACCAAATGGATGGAGAGAGCGAGTATGAAGAGAGAGGGGTTAGTGGGAAGAGAAATGAACAGAGTGGAAAGAAAATGGGGAGTGAGGGAACATAGAGTGGGTGAGTAAGATAATGAGCAAAGGGGTAAAAGGGGGGAGAGAGAGAGAAAAAAAAGCAAGAAAAAGTAAATTCAGAACAGAAAGGATAGAGTTTGAGGAGCCTCAGTGTTCACCCTGAGCAAGTCCCCATCTGCTCCTGCCTTTCCAGACTCTGCCTCACTGTTTTTGTTTAATCTTCTAGGTGTTAAGTCTTTAAGACACCATGTGGAGTTACAGAAAAGCAGCTCGTTAGTCCAAAATCCAGACATCTCAACCTCATCGGAAGAGCGAACACTAAGCAAATTATTAGAATTAAAAAAGTACCGAAGTAATTTACCAGTCAACTGGCTTTGTTGTTTACCTCTGTTGTTAATTCACTGGATCAGTTCTGACCTGGGAGCAGTTGATGAAATACTGAACAATCTGAATTTGATGTATTTTATTAATTCTTCCTAACATAAAATGGAAACTGCCCTGGATGCTGTTTTATGCATATTGTTTCCAATGCTGTAAAAATTAAAGATAAGAAACAGAAAATATCTTGTAATCCGTTATTTGGGAAATTATCATCTGGGCAACAGAATGGAGCAAATATTTTCAATGTTTGCAACATTTTATCATCAAAATAAAGCAAAGTTTACCAGATTTGGATTTGGTTTTGGATGCATTTCAGGTGCTGAACATTTGATCTCTATATTCTATGACATGATAAATTCTTCAAATTAAAAAATTTTAACAAACTAGATCCAATATATTTTGAAAATAAAATAAAAAAACCCCTCTTCCGCTTCAATCTGAAATTCAAAATTGGCAGGAGTTTATTGCTTTTTATTATTTTTTCTGATCACACAAAAGCACATTAAGGCTGCAAAATAAATCCCCGTCATATTTGTGAGCTAAATCTAGTAATCCCGAAGGACTATTTGGACACAATAGAACATTATCTCTTACTAATAGTTTTAGTGTCTGACGTTGTTTATTATATATATTTATATGTATAGAATTTATTAGTCCAGTCAGACAAACCTTAATGTCTAAACATGATCCACATTTTTGGTGTGATGCTAAAGGTCACAGGTTTGAATTCCTAACCTAAAGCAAGTCTTATCTAAAGGCTAGATGGCATCAATGTGATAAAAATGACTCCAGGCCTGACTTCAATTTAACGAACAAAACGTGAGACTAAACTTGAGGAGGAAGAAGGATGAAAACCTCGTGCCAAAACGCATGTTGGGGATCTTATCGAGGTTACTATGAGCAGCGTGGTGGTGGTTTGACCTGGAATCAGCTCATGAGCTAAACGTGGCAGCGGCGCAGGAAGTGAACACGGCTTAGCGGGTCTGGATTTAGACGGCAATCTGAAGCCGAACCAGCGGAGCCGCAGAGGGGAGGAGAGGAGAAGCGAGCGCTAAATTGGACGGCCGTAACTGGTGCGCTGCCAGCAGGCGCTGGGCGGGAGGGTGATGTGAAGATCTGCATATGCACGTGTGTGAACCTCACCCCCCCCATCTCTTGTGCGCCACTGTGTGTGTGTCTGACTCCACAAACTAAATGCTGCCAACAGGAGCTCAGAGCCCAGAAATCATCTGTAGCTGTAGGAAAGCCTCCCAGACCAGTCAAAAGAAAAAAGAAAGATGGGAGAGAAAGGAAAGGAGCACCGGCTCTGTACGCCGCTCCCCTTTCTTCCACCTTCTACTCTCAGAGTAATTGCATTCTGTCCATCAGACTCAGTTAAATTAGTGCCTCCACTCTTTCAGCTCTCCTGCCATCTCAATAATGAATAATTACAGAGACCACCAATATGCCAGGTTTCTCTGCACATGTGCGCCGTCTGTCTCTCCGAAGCCATCGAACCTTTGTACCCTGACACCACCGCATCAATTCCTTATCTCATTCCACCTTTGAGCTCGGCTCGCTGATAGCTAGCCATTTTTAAAGGTTAGCACATGTTCTGTTCTGAAACACATCAGATGCTTAACTATTTAACAGTAATGCAGCCTTAATCAAAACTCAAGTGGTTAAAAGCCCAGTTAAATATCAACAAGCCGACAACACACACACACGCACGCACACGCCCACACACACAAGTCAAGAAGAGGAATGATGTCAATTAATATTTGCTTTACCAAAAACAAACAACAACAACAACAAAAAAACTGGACAAGAAACCAGGGATATTAAACCTACCTGCTTATGGGCAGCAGAAGATAAAATATGTCCAGCTCAGGAGAGACACAGCAGAGGGGAATGAAACAGAGCGTAAAAGAAGAAAAGTGAGGAATAGGGGCAAAAGATCAGCTAATGAAGGTTGGAGGACATGACGTATGATGGGTGGGTGAGATATACAAATTGCCAGGACAAACAGAGATATATGTATATAAAAAAATACAGAGTGGATCAAAGTTCAGTGTCACACCCGCAGACATCTGTTACTTATCACCGTACTTTGTCTCTTTCCATGTCTTTCATGGAAAGACGTCTATCTGATGATAGGAGCAGGGAGTTCGTCTTTGAGGACTCGAAAGCTAAAGTCTGCCATCTTCCTTTGAACAAATTAAGCCTAAACAGATTTAAAAGCATAGCCAATGTTTTTGGTCTTTGTAATTCACAAACTGACTGTGTGAACAAGTCAGCTTTCCTGTTCCTGTTGTTAGACAGCAGTGCTGCTGCAGATGGGATTTCTTGTTACAACAGATGATTTGTTGAACTAGTGATTCCTTTCTATTATCTCAAACCAGTCTGCCCAGAATCGTTTTACGTCAGCACAGAATCTTCTTCCAGACAGCTGCTGTTAACTCAGCACAGT